AGGGAATATTTTTGGTTTAAGTTTTAAAGATTATCTCAGGGCCATAGTTTCAGGGGTTCATCTACCCTCCATGGCTCCAGAAAGTCTGGAGTCCATGAGAATTTGGCTGCTTGGACGCTTTCAAGACCCCAGGCACTACACATCAAACTAGAAGGTAGAACAGAGGCACTAAACATGTTATTAGGCCAATTAACTGGGATGTCCCATGAAACCATCACCCTAAAACTCCAAACCAAGAAATCATATCCCATGAGGATTTTGGTTGTACATTATCACCTTCAGAAGCTACTCTTTTTTCATCATTGTAAATATATTTATCACACAACTTTTGCCAATTCAACTTTTTACAGACCTACAACTTATTAACAGCAATTACAATAATCGGCTGTGCAACCCTACCCTTAGTCAACGCAATATTTCCATCACTGTTAACTTCCCTTTTCCCTCTCCCTCTCACCCGTTAACCACTAATAGACTTTGTTCTCTATAGATTTGTCTTTCCTTGTCTTTTTATATAAGTGAGGTCATACAATATTTGTCCTTTTGTAGTTGACTTATTTCACTCAGCATAATGTCTTCCAGCTCCATCCACATTATTGCATGTATCAAGACTTCATTTCACCTACTGGCTAAGCAGTACATATATATAGTTTTTTTTTTTTTTGAAACAGCTGTTTAAAACATTTTTTATTGTGGTAAAATATATGTAACAAAACATTTGCCATTTTAACCATTTTTCAGTGTACATTTCAATGGCATTAATTACATTCGCCATGTTGTGCAACCATCATCACTATTTCCAAAACTTTTTATCACCCTAAAGTACCCATTAAGCAATAACTCCCCATACCTCCCCCACCCCAGCCCTGGTAACCACAAATTTACTTTCTGTCTTCATGCATTTTCATATTCTAGATATTTCATGTAAGTGGGATCATACAATATTTGTCACCTTGTATCTGACTTATTTTGCATAGCATGTTTTCAAGGTTCATCCATGTCATAACATATATCAGGACTTCATTTCTCTTTATGGCTGAATAATATTCTGTTGTATGTATATACCACCTTTTGTTTATCCATTCATGTGCTGAGTTACACTTGGGTTGTTTTCACCTTTTGGCTGTTGCGAATAATGCTGTAGTCAACATTGGCATACAAGTGTCTGTTTAAATCCCTGCTTTCAAGCCTCTTGAGTATATACTTAGGAGTGGAATTTCTGGGTCTTATGTTAAATGTATGTTTAACTTTTTGTGGAACTACCAAACTGGTTTCTACATCGACTACACCATTTTGCATTCCCTCCAGCAATGCACAAGGGTTCTAATTTGTCCATATCTTGGCTGACACTTGTTATTTTCCATTTTTCTGATAATAATCACCCTACTGAGTGTGAAGTGATATCTCATTGTGTTTTTGATTTCCCTGGTGAGTAATGAATGGAACCCTGGTGGCGCAGTGCTTAAGCACTCATCTACTAACCAAAAGGTCAGTGTAGTTTGAACCCACTAGCCGTTCTGTGGGAGAAAGATGTGGCAGTCTGCTTCCATAAAGATTTGCAGCCCTGGAAACTCTATAATGATGTTGAGCATTTTTTCATGTGCTTTTTGACCACTTGTATATCTTCTTTGGAGAAATGTAACAGTTTTTTTTTTCTTTCAGTCCAATAATGTTATTACTAATGATCTTCACTATCTAATGTTAAATCTGAGGCAGATCTGATTAAACATTTTGGTAACCTCAGTCTTAAGACTGATTCATACTTTCCAGCGATCTCTGCTTTTCTCCAGAATTTGCTGTGGGAGAGTGAGGGTGAAGAAGAGGGATGTAGGAGGGAGCTCCTTAGGAGTGACCCTGAGAATATGTTGGTCCCAAGGGCAGTGTTCCAAAACAAATAGTGACCCCACGGACTGGGGCTAGTCCTGAGCACCAGGGCAACGTTTTCTCTATGCTCTGCCCCTGACCCTGGATTTGCTGCTAGAAAACAAAGTTTAATGCCTCCCCTCCCCTCCACTGTTGCCACCTCCAATTCCTCTTCTCTGTTTAATTTTATTTCTCCTTAATTTTTATCACTATCTGACATACTACATATTTATCACCATCTCATATATTTTACTTGCTTACTTTTTTTTCTAACAAAAGCTCTCACATATTTATTACTGAACCAACCTACTACTGTGGAAGCATAAAAATAAAGGAAGAAGCCAGAGTTTTCCCACTACAACATGTTCAATTGTTCAGATAGTGGCAAAATTTTCAGCTTGGTGTGGTGTGATATTTAATGTTATGTGTCAACATGGCAAGCCCATGATTCTCAGTATTGTGTAATTATCCCCCTTTTTGTGATCTGATGTAATCCTCTATTTTGTGATATAATGTAATCGCCTCCGTGATGTGATCTGATGTGATCAGCCAATCAGTTGTGAGGGGAGTTTCCCCAGGGGTGCGGCCTGCACCCAATATAGATATGGTTGTTCTGGCAAAGCTTGGTTGCTTGCTCTGGATCCTGTTTCTGGCTCATCATCATCTGACCTCTGGTTCTTGGGACTTGAGCCAGCAGCCTGTCGCTTTATCTGCCAACTTTGGGATTCGCCAGCTCTGCAGCCCTGTGAGCCAGCAGCCTGTCATCTGACCTGTGGATTCCGGGTTCATCAGCCCCTGCAGCCATGTGAGTCAGGAGAAGCCTCCAGCCAATGCCCAACCCACAGACTTTGGGACTTGCCAGCCTCCACAACAGTGTAAGCCATTTCCTGAGATAAATCTATTTCTCACTAAATATGTATACATATGCTTCACTGGTTTTGCTTCTCTAGAGAACCCAGCCTAAGACATATGGTAAGATGCTAGTGAACTTGATAGAGCAAAAATATATGTGCGACTCTGTATAAACCCAGCTTAGTTCTTCTCTAATGTCTCCTCTTGGAGTTGTACCTGATTTTATTACTAGTTTTCATTTAAATCCATTGAGGAATGGATGATTCTGCTTTTGTTTCTTGGCCGGAATCTCTTGATCCTGAAAGTTTTGTGAGAAGACTTGGTGAGGATGGAAGTTGGCTGCACACACCGCAACGGCAGAGAAAAGGAGAGAGAGCTGTGTGCTTGCTTTTTATGGTCTGTTTCCCTCCGCTAAAATGCAAGCTCCACAAAGGCAGAACTTTTTGCCTCTTTTGTTCACTGTGGAATCCCCAGTGCCTAGAGCAGTGCCTGGCACTTAGTAGATGTTCAAAAAGTGTTTGTGGAATAAGTGAAGTCCAGTCCTGGCTTTAATCACCTTCTATCACTACAGGGCCCATACTTCTCTTTCCTCAGAGCCTGATGGATTTGATGTTTTTGCCTCAGCTTTTCATGAGGGTTTTCTGCAGAGAGCTGAAATCCCAGCAGATGGGTGCGTCTATGCCTGATGTCAAGGGAAGGGGATCTATGATGTGAGTAGATACTTACCTTGCTTGGCCTGTCTAATCGAATCACTAAGGGAGCAAAGGAGTCTAAGGAAACTTTGGAAAGAGCTCAAAAAGTAGGGAAATGGGGAGAACCTAAAGCTGAGACGGCCTAGGGTAAACTTTGGAGGCAGAGCCTAAATGAAGCACGGAATATAATCATAAATGTAATTTATGTAAAATTACATAATTATTATTATAGCTACAATTTATTGAATGCCTAATCTGTTCCAGAACTTTATTAATTGCATTATACACCGCATAACTTTATTTTTCACAATATCCCTATTTTATGTGAGACAATGAAGGCTCGATGAGTTTATGTATCTTGCTTTGTGATGATTGTGCATTCCCTGAATAGGAGCACAGACTTAGTCCTGTCCCTGCAGAGCAGAATAATGACTGAATACACGAGCCTTTGAGCCAAAAAGGACTTGGTTTGACTTTGTTTGTGTCACTTACTAGTTGTGTGACCTTCAGCAAATTATTTAAATACGCCCCATTATTTAAACAAGCTCCAATTTCCTCACCTGTAAAATGAGGATAATGCACAGAGCTGAAGAAAGAAAAGAGATTGCATACAAAGTGCTTACCGCAACGCCAAGCCCGTTAAGAGTCAGGAGTCCCAAATGGTTAATACCCTGGGCTGCTAACTGAAAGGCTGGAGGTTGACAGTACAAATCCACCCAAAGGTCCCTTGGAAGAAAGGTCTGGCGATCTACTTCCAAAAAATCAGCCAACATGGAGCACAGTCTACTCTGGCACACAGGATCACCATGAGTCAGAATTCACTCCACAGCAACTTTTTTTTTTTAAATTTTAAATGTGAGCCAGGTCTGGGAAGGCGGACATACTCAGGAAAAGTGACCAGGTCTGCTGTTTCCTTTCAGTACCTTTCCTGCTCTGCTCTCCTGAAGTCCTAATCGCCACTCGAATAGACGCTCAGAATTAGAAGAGTGCATGTAGTCCACCTCCATTATTAGAACTTCTTCTGTCTGGCCTCTGCTGGAGCTGGTTAGTGAGGGGGGCACCCGACCTCACAAAACAGCCTCGGTTTTGTTAAAGGTCCATCTGTTCCTATTTCCCGATCCCGAAGTGGTTGTTCCAGTTTATTTTCTCCCTGAACAGTGACAATCCCAGGGGCGCGGCATGCTAGCGGTTGTAGTTTGAAGTCCTCCTTCCGCGTCAAAAAGGCGACCGAGCCGAGAGCCTGAGAACTACAACTCCCAGAGTCCTCTGCGCCGCCAGGAAGCAGCGTGTCTGCGGCACAAAAGATGGCCGTCCGGCTCTTCCAGTGAAGCGTTGTCTCTCGTGATCATAAAAAGCAGCCTGGACCTGCACTTAACAGGGTTAAGGTGTTCCGGCACATGCCCTGGGGGCAGAAAAACTCGGGCCAGGTATTCCAGAGATGCAGCAATTCTACAGATCCGAGGCTTGAGCTGGTTGCCCAGGTGCCAAGGCTGTTTTGAGGCTGGAGCAGCCAGCACACAAGCCTAGCCTTTGCCTTAGATATAGCCCCTTCCTTTTCCTTCTGTAAGGATCAACCTGGGGAACGGTTGTGGGCAGGGATATGAGGACTCTTGCTCTTCTCCCAGGCCCCCTCTGACGTCTGAGGAGACTGTCCTGAGCCCAGGCTGGCTATGAAGAGCGACTCCTCGACATCTGCAGCCCCCCTCAGGGGCCTCGGGGGGCCCCTGCGGAGCAGCGAGCCGGTGCACGCCGCCCCAGCCCGGTCACTGGCTGTGGTTCTACTGGAGGAGGCGGCCGACCTCTTGGTGGTGCACCTGGACTTCCGGGCGGCGTTGGAAACCTGCGAAAGAGCCTGGCGGAGCCTGGCGGCCGATGCCCAGGCGGAGGAGCACGCTGGCACGTACGTGCTAGGCGCGGTTCATTTTGGGGTGCTCTTGGCAGGGGCTCGGAAATCTGAGGATTTCTGTCATTCCCATATTATTCACAAGGAGTGTTACATCTTTTATCATTAGTGGTTCCTTTCTGAGAAGTGGATTGCTCATCATGTACCCATTTCACAGAAGAGGAAACTGAGGCACTGCACAATGAGAAAGAAATGCTTAAGTCGTGTAACAGAGCTTAGTGGGACCCCACAGCCAATTCTTTGCTCCCTGGGGAGCTCCCCATGTTCCAGTGGTAGAATGTGTATTGTTAAATTATACCAGTAAGCAGGGGTTCAGTTAGCAGGTGACAGCCTTCTCCTGTATACCCCCCAAAATGTTCACTCGACCTTTGCTGATGATGGGAAATGAGGGTCAGGGCAGGATTAATGTTCTGGTCATGTTGAAAGACTCGGTTAAAGAATTCATCCAGAGAAAATCTTGGTCCTGCATCGTAGCCTCTTCTGGCAGTTGAGGGCACCATTTCTCTATGGATGGTAGAGTTGGTTTAGGCCACACTAGAGAGGTGGCGGGGAGAATAGTCAAAGCAGACCCCAGAGAAGGCTTAACTGGGGAGCCCTGGCCTGAGTTCGGGGTTCGTGTGAGAGCTTATTGCACTGAATGCTGAAGGCTGTGATGCTGGGTGCTAGAAAGTACCTCACTAGGTGGTGCTAAAAAGCCGGTGTGGAGTTCCACACTCGCCTTGCTTAATGCCCATTTCTTCACTAAAGCAAAGCCTTAACTCCAGCTCTCTTTCTAACCACACACCTCTGCTGGATGCTGCCATTTCCCTTGAGGATTACCCTGCCTGTTCATTGAAACCTGATTTTACCTGGATACAAAGATGTGTGTTGGACAAGTTAATTTTGCCCCTAGGGAGTTTACAGGAAGCTTTTTTTTTTTTTTTAAAAATTGTGGTGAATGTATATGTAACAAAACATTTGCCATTTCAACATTCTTCGCATATATAATTCAGAACAAGAACTTTTAACTCCCTCTTGGGTCATAAGGCCAATAGTGAGGCCCCCCCCCGAGTACTAATGGGGTGGATAGAAGTGAAGGCTGCCGACCTAGGGGCTGGGAAAGAACAGTCCCAGAGTGGAAGTGGAGATGGACATGGAGGGGAACCACTTCTAGACTTTAATTGCTTTTTCTCCTGACAGCTCCTTGGAGGTGAAATGCTCTCTGTGTGTTGTGGGGATCCAGGCCCTGGCAGAAATGGATCGGTGGCAGGAAGTTCTCTCCTGGGTCCTTCAGTATTACCAGGTCCCTGAAAAGCTACCCCCCAAGGTTCTGGAGCTTTGGTAGGTCCTTGTTGCTGGCTCATTGGATCAGTTTTGGAACAAGAGAGTTTTCGTGTCCTCTCATGGATCAGTGCCTAATATCTGTTCTTTTCCCCTTCCCTACCATTTCTCTCTAAATCTAATTATTTCCCTTTTTTTTTTTAAGACCTCAAAACAGTAATAAAGGTTGAGGAAGAAAGAATTTAGAGTAGGGTAGAGGAAAAGGGGATGAGAGGGGGCATGGATATAGGAGGAGTGAAGCAGGATGGCAGAAGTGGGGTATGCCAGAGTTGAGAGAGCTGCTGCTTTTTTTATTTTTTATTTTTTAATAATTGTATTTATTTTGTTGTTGTTAAGAATATACACAGCAAAATATACACCAGTTCAACGGTTTCTACATGTACCGTTTAGTGACAATGATTGCATTCTTTGAGTTGTGCAACCATTTTCACCCTGCTTTTCTGAGTTGTTTCTCCTCTGTTAACATAAACTCACTGCCCCCTAAGGTTCCTATCTAATCTTTTGAGTTGCTGTTGTCAATTTGATCCCATATAGATAGTTCTTAAGAGCGCATAATGCTCAAGGCAGATTATTTTTTACTAGTTAAGCTAAACTGTTGTTTAATTTTAAGAAGACTTCAGGGGATATTTTTGGTTTAAGGTGTAAAGATTATCTTAGGGCCATAGTTTCAGGGATTCATCCAACCTTCATGACTCCAGGAAATCTGGACTCCATGAGAATTTGAAATGTGCATTTTCCCCCTTTTGATCAGGTTTATTCTATGGAATCTTTGATCAAAATGTTCAGTAATGGTAGCTGGACACCATCCAGTTCTTCTGGTCTCATGGCAAAGGAGGCAATTGTCCATTGAGGTAGTTAGCCACATGTTCCATATCCTCCTCCTATTCCTGACTAAGAGAGCTTTTTGATACTTCATAAAATTCCTACTTCTTACCATTGTCGGTGTCCCATAGGGAAGGGTTGAAGGACAGAGGGAGGATTTGGATAGGAGATGTGTAGTGGTTATGAGAGATGATGAACCAGCTGTGGAGGACTGACTGTTCTTTCTTTGGGGTTGCAGTATTCTTTTATACAGCAAAATGCAAGAGCCTGGAGCCATGCTGGATGTGGTCAGTGCCTGGCTCAAAGACCCAGATAATCAGAGCCTTCCAGAATACAGAGCCTTGGCAGATCTTCACCTGCAACGTGTGCTGCTGCCCTTGGGTTGCTTGTCGGAGGCTGAGGAGCTAGTGGCGGGCTCCATGGCCTTTGATGAGGAGCAGCGACTGGACACACTCCAGGCCATTCGCACAGCCAGGCAACAGCAGGAACATGAACACCCAGGCTCTGAGGAGGCCCAGAAGCCAAACCAGGCAGGTAGGACATTGTCCATCTGTGGTCTCTGAAGGGGAGTTTTAGGCTTTCCCTGGACCTTGGGGTCCATCATTGTCGCAGCAGCGAAGATTGTCAGGGCGGCGGAGACAGTAACCAATGCCACAACTCTTACAGAGAAGTGGGGCCAAGGAGCATCACTCTGAGGAGTTGACCCCCACTCCAGTCCCAGGAGTTTATTATAATCAGCACAATAAGCAGTGGAGTAAATCATAGAACAATGGATTTTGGGTAGATAACAATCAGTTTCGGGCAAGGGAGAATGGGCTATAGGTAAGCAAGTTAATCAGTAAGGGAACAGTGGGTTATAGAAAAATAAGTCGTGCCTAATCTCTCACTCATAGCTGACAGGTGTCCAGCATGACTTGTACAGCATAGAGGCCTGTGGGAGCTGCAGTTGACAATAGTGCAGCCATGTTTAAATGGCGTATATCCCCACATATCATGACATTCCTGAGAGGTTAGGAGCCATGCTTTCTATGAGTAACTTCCAAATCACAGAATAAGAAACATGTCCAGTTGCTCACTAAATCCAAGCCCAGACCCTCTGAACTTGTGAATGGAAGGAGAATTTCCATGAGGGGAGGTGTTGCTTTGTCTCAGAATCTTGACTGTCTTGAAAGTCATCTTCCCTTTGGGGTATGATCAGTCACCTTCTCCTTGAGGTTCTCTCACTATATCACCTGGCTTCCCCGTGCTGGCTTGGGTGGGATGTTACTCCTCCTTTAAATGCTGCGCCAAATATAGACCCAGCTGACATGTTTGGGGGTAACCAAGGGAAAAATAAGAAACCAGGATGATAACTTGACTTACGAGACAAAGGTTACTTATCTTCAGCTTGGGGTCCCCCTGCCCAGCGTCCTTTACTTACTAAAACTCTTGAATGTCTTCTTCAGTGACTGATACCCACCCACTTCAGGGGCAGCCCACTCCTGCCCATTAGGATGCAGTTTTACAATATGGCTTCTATAGGAAAACCACTTCAATACTCAACACCGTACACCTAGCTAGCGTCGTACAAGGGGGTACACACACAGGTTTGAGCATAGGTGTGGGGGTTGGTTTGTTACAGAGGGACTTTAAAGGTCCCTACTCTGGACTCTTCCTCTGATTCTTGAATCCTTTTCAACTCCTTTTCCTCAAGTGATCATGTAGTCTGTGCTTGAATAGTTCCAAGGACAGAAAAATTTATTCTCTCGAAGCAGCTCCATTTGTCTATGGACAGGTTTTTAGGGAAGTTCTTCCTTATGTTGAGTTTACATTTTTCTCCTGGTAGTTTTTACCTACTGATCCTTGTTTTTCCTCTTGGTAAAATATAAAACCAGACCAAACCAGTTGCCATCAAGTCGATTTCGACTTAATGGAGACCCCATATGCGTCAGAGTAGAACTGTGCTCCGTAGCGTTTTCAATGGCCGATTTTTTTGGAGGTAGATAGCCAGGCCTTTCTCCCAAGGTGCCTCTGGGTGAACTAGAACCTCCAACCTTTTGGTTAGCAGCTGAGTGCATTAACTGCACCACCCAAGAACTCCTGGTAACATATAGCATAGGCTCAATTCCTTTTTTACACGAAAGCCCTTCAGCTATTAGGAGACTGTAATCCTGTTCGATACTGTTCTCCAAAGTGTTTTTCTTCATGTGTTTAAGAACATGAACCTGCTGAGATAGGATCACCTCTTTGCAAGTAGGTTGTCAGCTTCAGGGCTCATCTGTGGCTGCCCACGCCCTCTGTCCCTCCACCTCCTGGGAAGGAAGGGACAGGGAATGGGGCTTGATGGCAAGTTCAGGTTGTTTTGTCAGGACTGGGTGACACTTATTTTTGGGTTGGTAGTGTTCATGTGAAGGAGCTCTGGTGGCACAGCGGTTAAAGTACTTGTCTGCTAACCAAAAGATTGGTGGTTCTAACCTACCAGCCACTCCATGGGATAAAGATGTGGCAGTCTGCTTCTGTAAAAGATTACAGCTTTGGAAACCCCACGGGGCAGTTCTACTCTGTCCTATAGGGTCGCTATGAGTCGGAATCGAGTTGATGGCAACTAGTTTGTTTTTTGCTTTTTGGAGTGTTGATGTAAGGAGCCCTGGATGCCCAGTGGTTAAGCCCTTGGCTGCTAACTGAAAGGCTGGTAGTTCAAACCCATAGGAGAAAGACCTGGTGATCTACTTCCATAAAGATTACAGCTTAGAAAACCCTATGGGGCTTTTCTACTCTTTCGTATAAGATTGCTGTGGGTCAGAATCGACTTGACGGCACCTAACGACAACAATATTCATGTTTGTATTCACAATCCAAGACTTTTGAATTCTTCACTATATGTATTAGATGCCTTTCTCTTCCCTGCATTGGCATGATGGTCAAAAGCTAGTGCTCTGTGTAACTCTACACATGTTTTAGATCTTAGGCCAAAGGTATAAGAATAAAAAGAATGACTGCAATATAATGAGGCCATTAAATATAAATCAAAACCCCACTGAATATGCCAGGTTTACCCAGCTGAATAGACGTTGTCTGTCAAAGTCTTCTCTTATGGAGGTGATATTCTAGGAAGGTAGTCTGTCCTTAAAACATTTTTGAAGCTTCTGGAATTCCCTTTAGAACTACTTTATTAGCTACATGAGAAGATAAGTCTCGTTACCTTTTTTTCCCCAAGTTTTTTAAAAATAATATTGTGTTTTCGGTGAAGGTTTACACAGCAGTTTAGGTTCCTGTTCAACAGTTTCTACACAAGTTGTTCAGTGGTATTGGTTACATTCTTCAAAATGCATGAACGCTTCTGGTTGTTCTGTTTGAGTCTCGCAGGGTTTTGAACCAGTTGGAACTGGTTCAGTCATGGTGGACAAAGCAAAACCGGAACAGATCCGATTTTTTAAAATTTGAGTGATCCAGAACCATAACCAGAATGGGAAAAATTGCGGGTCAGAGCCCTGGAGTAGGAGGCTCAAAGAGGCGTAGTGAGCCCTTTCAGAAGCCTGATGTGTGAGGTTGGATTTTTGCCGGGACTGAGGAGAGCGACACATTCGAAGGGCACGGTCAGCTGCCATCTTTGAGCAGGGCACCACTGTTTCCAATTCTGCACAAAATCAAATGGGCAAGAGATTTGGTTGCTATGCAATGAGTATGCTGTCCTTGTTTTCTAAGAGGGAGATAAAGTTTCTAGCAAGGCTTCGACCTGTTATTTTTCCCATTCTAGTTATGGTTCCAGTTCACCCAAATTTTAAAAAATTTGGGTCTGTTCTGGTGTCGCTTCCTCGGCCATGATTGAAACGGGAAGAACTGGTTCAAAGCCCTTGTTTCGTTACCTTTTGCTCAAATCTTATAATCAAGCTCAAAGCTCAGAGTCAGGAGAGCTGATTTCTGTGACTTACCCTGAAGTTAAGCTCTGTCTTTCTGCCCAGACTCCTTCTCCCACAAGTTCATGTCACTACTGATGTTGCTTCGCCGGCTTTGGGATTCTGCAGTGAGCCACGTCTTTTCAATGCCCTTCAAAAGGAGCCTCCTGGCCACCTTGATCCTCTGCCTCTTGGTGGTGAGGTTTGACCCAGGTAAGTGATAGTGCCTGCCTCCCCTCCTGTGCTTCCTAGCGGAGGGGCAGTTAACAGGGGCTGGCCTGTGGGAGCAGGTGCTTTTCAGGGCTCCTATCAGAGAGCCCTGCTGGGTATGGAGACCCTCCTGTGCCACTTCTCTCTGAATCTCTTCTACAAGGAGGAATTGCTGGGCCTGAGCAGGAGTCAGCCTGACCTGGAAGGGGAGACCAGGCCTAGAACTCATGAGAGCAGTCCATGAGTCTGAAGAAAATCCACTCTATTCTGTTGGCCCCTGAACATTGAATTACTTAGACAGCTGTTTTATCCAGGGGTGAACTCTGACTATCAAACCAGTCACCGTTGAGTCGATTCCAATGTGTGACGATCCCATGTATTGTAGAGTAGAACTGTACTCCATAGGGTTTTCAATGGCTGTGACCTTTTGGATATAGATTGCAAGGCCTTTCTTCTGAGGTGTCCCTGGGTGGATTCAAACTGCTAATCTTTTTGTTAGTAGCTGAGCATTTAACCGTTTGTGCCCAGAACCCCGGCATTAAAAACAAAAAACTTTCTTATCATGATGTTTGAGGAACCCCGGTGGTGCAGTGGTTAAGCGCTCAGTTGCTAACCAAAAGATTGGTGAGTTCAAACTCAACAGCTGCTCCACAGGAGGAAGATGTGGCAATCTGCTCCTGTAAAGATTCACAGCCTTGAAAACCCTATGGGGCCCTGGTAGTGTCATGGTTAAGAGCTCGGCTACTAACCAAAAGGTCGGCAGTTCAAATCTACCAGCCAGTCCTTGAAAGCCGTATGAGGCAGTTCTACTCTGTCCTGTAGGGTCGCTGTGAGTTGGAATTCGACTTCATGGCAGTGGGTTTGGTTTGGGTTTGGGACCATGATGTTTAAAAGAATTAAGTGCTAATTTAAAATAAGTTTTAAATGAAATACTCGTACATTCTAGAAAATGTGGAAAATAGAGACAGGTATAGAAAAGAAAATGTAAATCACCTGTAAGTCTGTTGCTGTAATGGTTATACATTCATCTATATCCATGGATAAAGATATTGTAGCAGTTTTGTGTGTGATATATATTTCTTTAAAACATGGCTTTAAATGACCAAATAATACTTCAATTTACAGAAACTTCCATAATTGATTTAGCAACCCCCTCTTGTGGAGACATTTTGATTATTTCTGATTCTGTTTTCTGCTTCACTATGTAACACTGAAATGAACCTCCTAAGTGATGTATGGGAGTGACCTGATTATTTCCTGAGGGTTAATCCCTAAAAGTAAGCACTGGGCCAAAGGTTAGTAGCTCACACTTTTAGATTATTTTTGTATTACACTATGTGAGTTATGACCTAATTTGTACTCTTCTTATGAAGTTAGAATAGAATTGTATAACTTTCAAAACTGAAGGGAAAATTTACATTCTAGTCCTTTCATTTTCCTTTTCTTTCTTCCTCTTTCTTTTGTGGTTGAGAAACCTAAGACCCAGAGAGGGAAAGTAACTAGCCCAAGGTTATACAATTTGTCTGTTTTTAAAACTACCACCTCCCCAACTCCATGCCTTTAATTTAAAAAACAATGTTTATTTTTGTTGTTGTTATTGCTGAGAATATATAGCAGAACATACACCAATTCAGCCATTTCTACATGTACAATTCAGTGACACTGATTACCTTCTTTGAGTTGTGCAACCATTCTCAGCTTCTTCTGAGTTGATCCTCATTAACATAAACTCACTGCCCGCTAAGGTTCCTATCTAGTCATTCAAGTTGCTGCTGTCAGTTTGATCCCATATAGATAGATCTTAAAAGAGCATAGTGTTCAAGGCAGACACCGGATGTCTATTTTATTAGAAGAGTCAGAAAAAAGTATCATTATCTTCATGGGCAAGCAAACATGGCAATATTAGGGAGTAGAATTCAAAATACATGTGCATTTTCCAGATTAAAAAATGGAATTTCAGAGAACCTGCCCAGCCAAGCTGTGTTTCCCTCCAGCAGGGGCTCGGGAAGCCTGAGCAGAGGCAAGAGCGGCTCTGCTGAGAAGGAAGCAGAGGTCTTTGGTCTCTTTTGGCTCTGGGCAAGTCACCCCAACTTTAGGCCCAAGTCTCCAGGCATCACTAAAACTGCCATTTCTCAGTTTAATCTTTAGATCTTCCCTACTTCGCCTATTTCCTTTCAACTAAGCTTTTTTTTTTTTTTGGCATAGCTGAAAGTTGTCCTTTTAATCCCCACACTGAACACTGAGCAGGAATTCCCTCTGAACCACTTGGCTTTATGCAAGAATCACTAGCTAGCTTTCAGGAAAGCTAAGGATAGTTTGTGTTGATTCTTGTTCACTTCTGACTTTTTTACTTTGTTCCAGAGACTTGATAAACATTTAGAAACCCCTTATGGTTCTTATAAGGAACCTCGGTGGCGAAGTGAATAAGTGCTCAGGCACTAACGGAAGGGTCGGCAGTTTGAGCCCACCAGCCGCTCCTCAGGAGAAAGATATAGCAGTCTGCTTTTGTGAAGATTACAGCCTTGAAAACCCTATGGGGCAGTTCTGCTCTGTTCTATAGGGTCTCTATGAGTTGGAGTCCACTTGATGGCAGTGGGTTTGGTTTGGTTTTGATGGTTCTGAAGCCCTTTAGTCTCATCAACACTAGCCTCCTAAGTGGGTAAGGCATGGGGCCATTTGAACTTGCTCTTTCCAAGGCTGCTCAGAGCTTCTTCAGAAGTGCCCTGGCCTGAGGGGTTCTTAGCCTCAGCGGTAGTCTTGACTCACTACAGTGGTGATGTGGTGGAAGAGGAAGACCTGCACTGGGCAGCAGTTAGAATTCAGTGGGAAAGATAGAAAGAGGATAGATTGTCAATCTCTTTCTTTAAGAATACAACGTTTTTTTTTTCTTTTTGAGAAAGAAATATATGTGCCCAGTTAAAAAAAAAAATCAGTAATTCAAGTAAGAAAAAAACACTCAGCTCCAATTTCAGAGAGGTAGATTTTACTTTATTTTATTTTCAAGGTAACTAATTCGTGTTAAAAATGAGGAGCCCTGGTGGCACAGTGGTTAAGCACGCAGTTGTTAACCGAAAGGTTGGCAATTCAAACCCACCCAGCGGCTCCACGGGAGAAAGAAAACTGAAGGGAAAACTTATATTCCAGTCCTTTCATTTTCTTTCTTTTTCTTCCTCTTTCTATCTTTTGTTTCTTTTTTTGGTTGAGAAACCTAAGACCCAGAGAGGAAAAGTGGCAATCTGCTCCTGTAAAGATTACAGCCAAGAAAACCCTATGGGGCAATTTTACTGTCACATGGGGCCACTATAAGTCGCAATCGACTCGATGGCACACAACAACAACGTGTTAAAAATAGGTAATATTGTTACATGGCTCAAAATTTAAAAGGTATAAAAAGGAATGTAGTGAAACGTCTCTCCCCAAACGTATCTCCCTAGAGGTAGCCACTGTTAGCAGTGTTTTTGGTATATCAAAAAGTTAGATTAAAAGACAATAAAGTTGGATCTTTTTCTCAGCAAATTTAAGATCACTGTAATTCAAGTGAAGAAAATATATCCTGGAGAATATATCCTAGAGAAAGTGAAATTCCTTATTGTTGGGGACAGGAGGAGGAGTAAATATAACATTAAACAAAAAAATATTTTTAAAAAAATGATGCATAATCCCAGGTTTCCAAGGGATGGGAGATGGGGCTGAGTGAGGAGGAGAGGAGTGAGGGAGGAACATTCACGACAGTCTTCCCTTCTCCCTGCAGCTTCTCCTTCTTCCCTGCCCTTCCTCTATAAGCTGGCTCAGATCTTCCACTGGATCCGGGACACCGTGTTTTCTCCCCTCTACCGGCTCCCTGTCCAGGACTGAGTGGTCTGCCGCATTTGCCTCAACCTCCCTGTTCCCTGCTCTGCCAGGACAGAAGCAGAGTAACTCATCCACGTGGCCTCTTTCCTGTTGCAGTGGGACCCCTGTGGGAGTAAGGCCAGCTGAATTCTAGAAAGAGCCAATCCCTCAGTTTAACTATGTCTTGCTGCCTGAATGTCCTCCCCTGTGCATCCCGCTTGCCTGGCCTTGGTGGGTAATGTAGAAACAAAGTGGGACCAGAGGGCACATATCATCCAAAACAGGCCCCCTTCCACCCAGAGGCCACTTGGAAAGGGAGGTTTGGAAAGGAGGAGTGCATCCATGAAAAACATACCCTCTTCTTGGCAAAGGCAAGGAGTGAATTTTTCAGATGAGGGTATTAATGAAGTTGGAAGTTCAGAAAAACCCTGAAGGGGTGACCTTTGGCCTGTTACTTACTTGAAAAACCCATCTCTGAAAACCAGGCCATTAATGAGCTAGACTGAGACCTGAGAGGGCGTCTTTCTTCTTCCCTTCGCTCCTCTCCGCAGATCTGATCTAGTTATGTATCAGTGCACCATTGCCACCGTCATGTAGCTGCTTGGGCCTCTCACTGTTCAGACCAGGGCATGGCTTCCAGAACCACCCAGGTGACTGTCGAAAACACAGTGAGACTGCTCGGCTCTTATCTTTGGGTAAAGTGAGCTTGCCTGGTGCCTCTTGGTCTCCGATTCAATTTTCCAGGTTGTCAGTGGCCAAGCCTTGCTCTGTTACATTCAGTATCTCTGCCCACCCTTTCCCTCCAGCCAGCCCTTAGCCCCACCCAGCAGCAGTGTTTTTGTATTTTTTCCAGCGGCTGTTTCACAGCTTCTGCCTGCATCCTTGCCTCCTTAATACACACTGGTGCATGCCGCCACCCCTTTCTATGCCCTGTTGTCCTAGTTATGTGGTATTGTTTGTATCATGCACAAGTTTTTCCACTTGTGTGGCCTTGAGAAGTAGGCCAGCCTCAGAGGCTGAGGAGCTGAAAATGGAACTGGGTAATCAGGTGAGCTGGAAGGGATGCCTGGAGGAGGGGTAGGGCTCACTTTGGGCAGAGGGGAGACATGCGATTTGAAGGCAGTGAACAACACAACCTGCGGGGGAGGAGGCATTGTGCCTTTGCATTTGAGCAGCTGAAGTGTTTCTGTTTTCTGTCACCTGCCGCAGAATCTTCCATGCTTCCATGCAAGTACATGTGGTAAGGCACTATTGTGCTGTCAGGATTGTGGAAGACTCCAGCACGGGCTGGCCTTTCTGCAGCTGTAGGCCAGGCCAGCTCCTACCAGGCTGGGACCTCAGTCAGTGCTGATGCCAAGAATGTAGAAGGGCTTTTCCTTGGTTGATTTTCAGGGGTAGCAGGTGAGACCTTCTCCTTAGAAAAATAGGTAAAGAGTAAATAAATCTTACATGTCCTTGGGATAATTCAATGCCCAGGGAATGGTCCAACTCTGTAGGAAACAAATCTATGCTTTTAGACGTGGGCCTTTGAACAGGGCTTAGAACTCTGGGGAGAGAAAGGGAGGTAGTTAAGCTTTGAGATTCCTTCTTTAGAATGCTTTCTTTAAAATGAAACTCTGGTCCTGATCAGGACCCTAGGTAATCAAACTCTAGAATGGCTTCAAAATGGCCCACAGGATGAAGTTCAGATTCTGCCTCGGGGCACTTAAGGCCTTGAGGCACTGGTTTCAGCTAACACCTCCACTTTCACTTGGGGCCTCTGTTCCTTATGCACGTGCCCTCCAGTTGCACAGCTAATTTCAGTTTTCTGAACACCATGTGCTCCCTTACACCTCTTTGCCCTGGGATGCCCAGTCCCCTTTCTGGCAGATGAGCTCCTCAACCTTCAAGACTTACTCAAGGGTTACCTCTGGGAATCCTTTCCCAGTGTCCTCTGTTTCCAGGTCCCTGTTTCATATCCTTTCTGTGGTAGTGACCCCATGGCCTTATCATTGTGAAATTCTTTGTTGGCCCCAGTAACCATGAGCTCTGTGAAGCTGGGGAGTATGGCTTGTTGTAGTGGCTAAGAGCATAGGCTTAGGAGTCAGGCTGGGATATCTGAGTTAGGATCTCTGCTCTAGCACTCATTAGGTGTGTGTTGGAAAGTGACTAACCTCTCTGTCTCAGTGTTCTCATCTGTAATTAGTTCATATTTCATAGGGATTTTTTTTTTTGCCTTTTATTATTATTATTATTTTTATTGTACTTCAGGTGAAGGCTTACAGAACAAATAGTTTCTCATGAAACCGTAGTACACATATTGTTCTATGACATTGGTTAACAACCCCACAACATGTCAACCCTCTTCCTTCTCGACCTTTTTTTTTTTGGTGAAAATATACATATCCAAAGATACACCATTTCAGAAAATTTCTAGAGGCACAGTTCAGTGACATTGACTACGTTCTTCCAGTTGTGCTGCTATTCTCACTTTAGATGAAGGCTTACAGAACAAAATAGTTTCTCATTTAACAGTTAGTACGCATGTTGCCCTATGACAATGGTTAACAACCTCACAACACATCAACACTATCCTTACTCAACCTTGGGTTCCCTATCACCAGCTTTCCTGTCCCCTTC